ACTGATAAACATGAAAAATCTAACAAAATTATCATACCAAATTACGACATAGGATGTAACCCTGAACACCTTTACTTACCAAATGTCCGCGATAAATACTATAAAAATCTGACAGTTTGTCTCGTAACCGAAACCGTAAAAAAATCGAAATAAATTTTAGCTTTAAAGATATTCACAAAATGAACACTAACACCACGTGATAGAACCTTACTACGAACAGAATAAATCACAAACTTGGCTCTACACGAACACAATCTGAGGTGATTCGAACTGAAATGGGGTAAAATTCCAACCAAGTTCTTTTTTCATGGTCCATTAAGCTAAAACCTAAAACTATCTTCAACAAACTAAAAACTACATACCGCATATCCTGTACTCTGGAACACTGGAAAAACAAATGAGCAATAGTGGTATGAACGATGATAAGATATACTTATGTTAATCCTCCAATATATGTATCCTATCATAACATTGGTGAACATGTTAAAGAAGTCCTCGTGATTTGGTGATCAAACGAGCGACTAACGTTATTGTTAGCTTCGTATAAAATTAAAATTATTATTGTTTACCATCCCTGCAATGATTCTTTTTTTACTAGGACTTTGTTCGGTGAAATTTCAGAAAAGTCGCCCACTTCAGGAATCCGCGGGAAAAGAAAAATACAGCGTCGTATTGTTTATAGTGTCTAGAGGTGTAACGAAAGTATTATTGTCAGTGAGTTTACATCAGGCATTAGGAAAAGTTGCTGAATGAAAATAAACTCCAAACGTACTGTAGTTTACGATATAACTGTACAATATCTGGTACGTAACGTTAAGACTTCCTTATTTACAGTGCATATTTCGAATGCATCAGAACTATTTACACGTGGGAAATATTCTATTGGTTAGTCCTGTCGTCGGAAGTCCATTAAAGCCAGGCAAAAAAAAAAAAAGTTGGAATTCGTCTCACATTTTACCCTCCTGGGGTCGAGATCAGGCTTAATGAACAAACCTTGGTAACTTAAAATTAATCCGGGTTTCGATACCCTTCGGTGGACACAGCAGATAACCTGATGTGGCTTCGCTACAGGCCCGGCATGGCCAGGTGGTTAGGGGCGCTTGACTCGCAATCTGAGGGTCGATCGCGGGTTCGAATCCACATCCTACCAAACATGCTGGCCCCTTTTAGCCGTGAGGGCGTTATAATGTGACGGTCAATCCCACTATTCGTTGGTAAAAGAGTAGCCCATAAGTTGGCGGTGAGTTGGTGATGACGAGCTGCCTTCCCTCTAGTCTTTCACTGCTAAATTAGGGTCAACTAGCGCAGATATCCCTCGTGGAGCTTTGCGCGAAATTTAAAACAAACAAATTTTGGTGACTTAAAATCGGCCACACATAATATTTCAGTAAAATAGAAGTCTCAGTCATTAATCCGTTTTTGTTTGTTTTTTTACACGTGAATGAGGAGCATCCAAGAAAACATTATTGCAACTTAAAAGTTTCTTAATGATGTTAAATCCTACTAATCCAGATCTTTTTGTTACGCACGTTCTCGTGGACCACTTGGCTTACCAGCATAGCCCGAAAATAGCCCTGTTGGGCCAAAACGTTTCGTAAAGAAATAGGTTTTATCATGGCATGGCTTTTCTTAATCAGTGTTAGTGTTCTAATCCAATTTTGGGGCAGGGATAATACTGGTTGAACATAATTTAGGTGCTGTCCCTTCACTGGCCTGGCTCACCAGTTATTTCTGCCTTAAAAAAAAGACCTGCGCTAATAAGACAGGAAATGAAAACTAAACCCTAACCTAGGGGGCTTGAAAACTTTCCCAGTTTTCTGGGACTCATGCACAACTGGGGAAGGGGTATTACTTGTCTATCATATTTTAGTAACGTATAATGGAGCTGTTAAACTTTGTATATTTTTGCGATTTTGGAACCGCAGCCCTAACCTGAATCGTCACGTGGTGTTCTGGTTATGTTATATTGTTCACTAAACACAAAGCTACACAATGAGCTATCTTCGTTCTGCTCACAGCGGGTATCGAACCCCGAACTTTAGCTTTGTAAACTGTAAGACTTTACCGCTGAGCCACCGGACGATGGGGGGGGGGGGTTGTTATATTGCCCCAATCTAATCGTTCCCACTTCAGGCCTAAGTGGTAATAATAACAGACTATTGAAGTTTTTCTAACAATCTTCTAAGACTTAACGTGAAAAAAAATATCCTGTTTTTCAAATACTATTACGTTTTATCATATTTTATTAGTGTCTGAAGACGAAAATGAAAAAAAAAATAATGGTTGTGGTTTTATATTTGTCCAGATGGGGATCGTTTCCAACCCATGTTACGTCAGTGCTCTTTACAACTGACGGACGCTGAGGTAGTGGTCAGTTACAAGGGAAAGAGGTTAACCATTGACACAGAGATAGCTGTTCCTCACGGAAGTAAACTGGATTTTCGATGTTCTGAAGTAGGCATGTACAAGTTTGTAGGCCAGCAACACTTAACGTGTTCGAATGGCCAATGGAGTTCTACTTTTCCTCACTGTGTGGCCACAACTCTGCAACGAAATTTCTCAGGTAGGGTTTTCATGCCAATTATATAATACACAGCTATAATCTAGGTCGGGACTGAGAAAAAAGTTTAGCATTTCTGTAGCTTGAGGTAAGCTACAGAATTAACCCCTTTCTATTTTATTTTGTTTTTGCTTCCTTATTTTCATAATTAACCTTGAAAATGATACTCTACTTAATACTACCTTTTTGTTAAATTTCTGTAACACACTCAATCGAAAACCTGAGAGAAAATATGAAAAATATGTTTAATTAATATATGTTTCTACACGCTCAAAGGCCTAAAGCCAACATATCATGAATCACAGGACTTTATCGTTTCTTTCCACCGTTTCTTTATTTAAAGATTAATCTTCTTTTGGCTGAAGAAAGCAATAACTACTGAACTAAACGTTTAGTGGTTCTGTTTATACCCCAATAGAAAAGCGTGCCTCTGAATCGTCGTGGTTTAAAGTAAGAAACTTCTGCCCGAATAGTTAAGCATCTTATTGTATTTACAGACTTATCCAGAAACAAACGCGACCGAATACGTTATCCATCAGCTGAGTGAACAGTTACTAGCATAAGGAGACATTGTAAATATTTGTTTATTATTTCTATTCAGTTATTTTTTTGAAAAAGTATTTCCGAATATAATACAAAACGAAATGCGTGAAATGTAATTTGTTACATTACAAAAAGCGTTTCGTTTCTGAAAAGGAATATAATCTGAAAAAAAAAAAACATTAATTTTGCTTCTGCCATTAAACACTTTTAAGTTACATGCATATTTTGAAAAATGTTTTAATGTACACAGGCGCGGACTGGCCTAAGGAGACACTCTCAAAAAATCCTAGTGAGCCCCTTGGAAAAGCAGGTAGTTTTGTTATTTTTATGACAAACTTGGGGGGCCCCTTCTAGCTTTTTTCCCCCGGTAAATTTGTAAAGTCCAATCCGCCCCTGAATGTACATTATAGTTCTTGCAAAAGTGGCGCCATTTTATCCTCATGGCCCCGTATATCCGTCTCAGACGACTATATGGTAAACGAGTGTGCTGTTAATATTGTATTACACGGATTACCCGAGATATGGGGTCGTATATGATGACATGGAATACAATTCCATGGAATACAATTCTCTTAGTGCCTTTGATTCTGTAGTTTTTGGCACAAAAATAATGAAAACTTCGAAGTACAAAAGAAAAGGACGCTAGAGAATAACGAGACACTGCTTGCAAACACGACATTGTGGAATTGATTTTTTTCTGGGTCACGTAATCTCGATTATCACAACTGATACTGTCAGTCTCAATTTTTCAAAGTGGGCAAACGACTGAGAGTTTTATGTCAATAAGATGGATCACTGTATTACTTAGCGGTGTTCGGGATCAAAACCAAATTAAACACGATATAGAAAAAAACATGTTAACAGGCGGAATATCCAGTCTTTTGGTAATTCTGGTTTTCTTAACAGCGATCATAAAACCTAATGTTACATTTACAGATGCGACGAAATAAATGTAACTTTTTTTATATATACAAGTAGCCTTAATAAACTTACACTGAAATTAAAGTAGAGTATCTAAAGGATTCAGAACGTTCTGGAACTTTTCTCTGAAGACAACATGAACTATCTTGTTAATAGTTCACAATACCGATGCGTTGTTGAATTACTAGCTATCCAAAGGCGAACTCCCCCCCCCCCGGACTTACAACGCTAGAAACCGGGTTTCGATACCCGTGGTGGGAAGAGCACAGACAGCCCATTGTGTAGCTTTGTGCTTAACCACAAACAAACGATAAGCCAAAAGCGAAAATCTTTACTAGGTTTTAAAATACACAGAATAAAAAATGGGAAAGTAGGAAACAAAAACGGTTACTTAGTGCTAACCGCTCGTAGCTTTTACTCAAATTAATTACACAACTCAACAGGTACAGTAAACTAAACAAGCTATTTACAGCGTAATTAAACAGAATAATGTGACAATGTATTCAATAAAAGTATGTATACTGTATAATAAACAGTTCGACCTAATTGTTCGCAGGGATTTTAAACAGTTCGACCAAATTGTTCGCAGGGATTTTAAACAGTTCGACCTAATTGTTCGCAGGGATTTTAAACAGTTCGACCTAATTGTTCGCAGGGATTTTAAACAGTTCGACCTAATTGTTCGCAGGGATTTTTATCTCTGGTATATGAAGAAGTAAGTTGTCAAAATCAGAAATGGATAGGTATAGTTATCTAATTACTGATTATTGTAATAAGGGTATTTATTACACCCCCTGGCGACTAGTACAAGCACCTCCTAGTATCATCTATAACGTGATGTCCGGGGACGCTGACGTCACCGGAGCCGGAGAAGTGGTCATCCTACCAAACAGCATCGTCCATTTGGATTGTTTGTTTCAGAGAGAACATGGCAACCCCGAATGGGCATGGTCAGCCGGCCAAAGGTGAGACTTAGTTTGGTTTTCACGTAATTCGTGTTTGAATTTAATCTGAAGATAATGTGTAGAAGTAAACAACTGTAATACGGCTGTGATACTTTTAGAAAAATAAACAGTTCATAATTGAAAAGCTGATAAAATTCAGTCTTTATAAATTAAGAGGTTAAAATGTTTCGTTTCATTTTAAAGAGGCTACCATAACATTGGTGCTCTGTAAGAAAACGTTATGTCTCATTGAAATAATACAACGAATAAAGGTTTCATTTTAAAGAGGCTACCATAACATTGGTGCTCTGTAAGAAAACGTTATGTCTCATTGAAATAATACAACGAATAAAGGTTTCATTTTATTTTAAAGAGGCTACCATAACATTGGTGCTCTGTAAGAAAACGTTATGTCTCATTGAAATAATACAACGAATAAAGGTTTCGTTTCTTGGTA